GATACTACTACTACTACTACTACTACTACTACTACTACTACTACTACTACTACTACTACTACTACTACTACTACTACTACTACTACTACTACTACTAGTAAATAATTTTATAGCACTTATAGCACCAGTAGGTCATGCAAGGACCGATTGATAGTATAATGAATTAGTCGGTATGCGGGAAATTGAATCATGCCATTTGTTGTTCAATATTTCTTACGAATCTTTTTATTTCTTTATTTTTTTAAAATTGTAAACCACAGACAGTCACAACGGAGTGGCGCTATAGAAGTGATCTTCATTTTTTATAAACCTAAAAGGCAAAATACAGTTCTACCCTTTGTAATGTTTCAAGGAACTGATAGAATGGCATTCACGTTAGTATTTAAAAATTTATAGATACTCCTTCATTTTGTTAGAATGCTCTAACATTCTTATCATGAGACATGATAAAAAAAGAAGAAAATTCGTCAACGAGGTATTGCGCATGATCGACACAAAATGTAGGATGTTGGATCAGCCATCTTGACTTCATGAGGAAGTAATATACGTCCCTGACATACTGTGCTGCGCAATGTTTCTACCAGAATATCACCCTCTCGTATTCAAAACGGGTTTTTCCCAACGAAAGGCGTCGAGAAATAAACAACGTCTTCAAACATCATATGTGAGACATCGTGGGGGAAATCAGGCGCTCGTTTTAAAATAACGAAATCGAGAAATAGGGTTAGAAATTCTAATCTACTGAAAACATTTATTAAACACAAAGAATATTTCATTTTTCCGTTTTCAAGGACTCTTTGGCTTTTGGAGTTATCAAAGTTTGTTGGTCATTTCCTGGCTAATTTCACAACTGAAACCAGGCGATCCCACTTCCTTCAATTTGCAAAAAAATTGAGCTCTATTCAAGATAATGATATGGATATCTATTTCACTGAAAGCAAAGCAAATAAACCAGCTTTCAGATGATACCAATAACTCCACATGCCCAAAAATTGACGAGCGCCTGATTCCATAGTATCATGATACATACATATGTGAGGCAGCGTGGTGAAATCAGGCGCTCGTCAAAATAATCAAAGTGAAGAAACTGACATTTTCCCGCAGGTTTTTGAATTTCTATTGAATGTTTATTTTTTGGCTCAACACCTTTCATTTCTGTGTGGATTTTTACTGAAAAACGTTTTTTAAAGGCATAAAAGATGTAAATTTTCAGTTTCCACGTACTATCAATCTAAAGAAATAACGCAACTTTTACCTCTGAAACCAGGCGACCCCTAAATACTTCAATCGCCAATATCTTGACTTTTACTAAACATAAATGGATATATTTTCCATTAAAAGTAAAGCAAATGGACATTTTTTTAAGAAAGTACCAATAACCCCATATATGCCCCAAAATTGACGAGCGCCTGATTCCACCACGTCGTGACACATTATATTTCAAAGGAGGAGGGTAGTGCGGTAAGTCACACAGAGATCCGCTACAACCAGCATAGGACAAAGGAAGCATGATGACAGCACAGAGTCGAAGGCCAGTGAATTCCTATTCTCCCCGTCTCAGTTAGTTTTAGTAAGTGTTTTACGGTACTTGCAACACGATTAGATCATATAAGTTGTGCCGAAGATTAGAGGTGTTACAAGAAAGTAACAAACACAAAAAAGAAGGAGGGAAGATAATGACGATAGACGTTTAATAGGAAAGAAGAAGCAAACCACACCAGAGCACCCGCCAACCACCCGCTCCCCACGTTTAATCGCCGAGACATAGACACGACTGTAATAATTATTGACCAAATATTTTCAATGTCACGTCACGTCACGTGTTATTGCAACGCCAAGAAACGGTCTCATCACGGCCCACGATCTCATTCTCACAGATGTCGGATAACAGATTATCAATCTTATATCTGTGTGAGATAACAGCAACAGATATACTGACAGGACTCAGATAAGTACTGGGTCAGTTGCACTAACAACGCTCTGAAGCCCAAGGTTGCATAACAATAGCGATAATGTAGATTTTTTAGATAGCGCCTGGTACCGTCTTCTCACAGCTCTAGGCACTTTAACATAAACCCAAGTACAAAGAGCAATAACCGTGAAAAAATAGACATAGATCTAGATCATAAGAATAATAGTCATCATCATCATCATCATCATCATCGTCATCGTCATCATCATCATCATCATCATCATCATCATCATCATCATAATAATAATAATAATAATAATAATAAAAAAATTACGATAATAAAATTAATAAGGGGGCTCTCGTGGCCTAGAGGTTAAGGTGTTGGCCTCTCATTCAAAGGTCCCGGGTTCGAATCCGGGTAGCGACCGAAACATTTTCTTCTCTAAAATTGTCTCCTTTCACCTTCTTTCCTGCTCTCTAGCAATATTCTGTTGTCTGCTTTCATTTCCACTTTGTGCCCCCACCCCCTCACCTTCTTTACCCCCTCCTCTGGGCTCCTGACTCTTTCTGTAGCCTTTCTACTGCTACTCCTTGGCTCCTCCTTACTGCTGTCTTTCTGCCACACTCCTGATCTTCTGGTAGGAAAGATCTACACCTAGCCTTCTCGGACAAGGGCGAAAAATCTCGGAGAGCCCGTGTGCAAGTTGCGCACGTTAAAGATCCCTTGGTGGTCTAAAACCGATAAGAGTGGGCTTCGGCCGCCACCGGGGCAAAATTCAAAATTTCCTACCAACTGAAAATACTAGGTGTGTCCCACGCGCTCATATGACCTTATGCAATTGCGAGCGCCGTAAAACACTTTACAAAAACAAACAAACAAAATTAATAATAATAATTACTGCATTTAGATCTATATATCACATATCCACGTTCTATAGCATATTCTATATGCTTTATAACTATTATTACCCCAGCAGACCCTAGAACACTTAGAAACATTCTCGGTTTCCATGGAAGCATACAGTGCACGCTCCGAAGTTCACGCGTTCAAACACTAACGGACTCACAATATCTTTCACTGTCTATAGCCGGGTACCCATTTCTTCCTGGCTGAAGTGTGGAAAATTCGTGCTCAGTGCCTTTCCCAACGACGTAACGTCAGGCCATGGCAGGATTTGAATCCACGGCCTCACGGTTTCAAGTGCGAGAGCCTAACCAGTAGGCCACCGACGCAACAAATGTCCAGTTCTACGCAATTTGCAAAATAAGGTTACATGCACGTAAAAGGAAGATGACGACATTTTTTGTTTAATTTTGACTCTCTACGGTGAAAGGTAGGCCTAATGGTGAGATGATATATGTTAAACGCCCCTTTAAACACTATTAGGTTATTTAAGAAGCGGGACTTCTAAGTTTAACGCTCATCTCCGAAAGAACCGAGCCATATAGGCAGTTTGGGGAAAGTACCTTTACCAAGGACACAACATCGGACCTAGCTGAAGCTCGAATCCCCGAGCCCGCAATCTCACGATTACAAAACAACCCCCTCCCCCCTCCCACAAAAACCCAAACCAAACCAAACCAAACCAAACCAAACCAAACCAAACCAAACCAAACCAAACCAAACCAAACCAAAACAACAACAACAACAACAACAACAACAACAACAACAACAACAACAACAACAACAACAAATAAAACGTTGCACACTCGGTAATCGACGTCCCTTCTTCAGCAGACGACATCGAAGACTTGATCTCCACTATCCTTCTTAGGCATTCATTTCTGAAGCTCTGCAGTTTCCTTGCTGCTGATGCTGTGAGCCTCCATGTCTCTGAACCATACAGTAGAACAGTCTTCCCGACAATCTAGGCTAATAACACCAAAACACAAATCTATGGATACAACTCACTATCCCACAGCTCCCGATCCAGCACGTCGCAATGGCCCATATTCTGGGCCTGCATTCTGACCTTGACACAGGTCATGAGACTGTAGATCTTCTTGTAGCCCAGCCCCGGGATGCAGCAGTCGGGGAACCTCTCAGACAGCTGGGACATGTAGGCCAAGGTCATGACCTTTGCAGGAATGGGCTTCATCTCGACGGAGTGGGCGCTAACGGGGTCAATGAAAACAGACGCCTGGACAAAAAGTACACACAGTGCGAATGGTGAAATATTCTGTTAATAATAATAATAAAAGTGAAATGATGATGATAATAATGATAATAATGATAATAATAACATCAACAACAACAATAATAAATAAATAAATAAATAAATGGATAATAAATGAATAAACAAATAAAACAAAACAAAAACAACAACAACAACAACAAATAAAACAAACACATAAATAAATAAATAAATAAACAATTAAATACATTTAAAAAACCAAATAAATAACGTTTGTATAGCGCAAAACTCAGCAAGCTGTGTGCGCGTTATAATCTATATTACTCCTGGAGATCTATACACATCTAAAGTTCGTGGGAAGCATACACTACAAGCTGCCATTTTACAGGCGTTAAAACACTAACTAAAAAACTGGCAAGTTTTTTCGCTGTACAGGAAGTTCCAGAAGTCCGCAACAAGCTGAAAACACTTTTCGTACTCAGAAATTGACGATTTGATGGAAGTCCTAACTACGGAGTACGGAGTGCCAAAAGGTCACACCTGGAACTCTCCAGGGCTAAAAGATCACACCTGAAAGTCTTAAGCGTCTAAAAGACGTGTTTTTTTTTTTGGAGAGAGTCTATGGTTGTTCTATTGCTTAGGAAGTTCAGTTCCAGCATTTATTTAAAACTAATGTCAATCAATCAAGCTGTGCTTAATGAAAACCAGGATGGTGCACCTCCTTTCTGGTCGAACACCTAATGTACTGAATTCAAAATCACTGACAAAACGCTTGGTCTAATATTTTCTTCTAAAGATTTAAAATTTGATAATGGAAACATAATTACTGCTTTATCTGGAAGCCCACTTGTAAGTGAGCACTATTAAAACTATTCAGCTCTTTAAAATCCTTCACTATCCAACTGGTCCCAAAATAGTGTCTCATTTCGGACAATGCAAAAAACACTATGTCAGCACTTTTGCGACACCACTTCTTTTACAGGATTTTGCTTTATCAATGTAGAAAAGGAAGGTGGAAAAACTAAGAGCACTGCTTTGTGCTCTTGTCTATAGTGACATAGTTTGTGGAAACGCTTTTTATATTTGCTGATTAGATCTACGCCATATCCATTTTAGTTGACAATTGGTGTAAAATATAACATCAGGTATACACTTCTTAGCGAAGTTATTCTCAGCCATTACATAATAATAAATTGTTCCACATTTCCACCTCAATTCTGCGAGGAACGTACATAATTATTGCATATTATTACAAGCATTTTTATTATCTCCTTCCCAAAGTCAATTCCGTCTCCCAGAAATATTATATTTACCTGATTGCTAAATATACGTATCGAGATAAAAAGGAGATAAGCTCAGTTTAATCAAAACTGTATAAATCTGCATAATATTCACTATTACTATTAAATTACCAGTATTGCTTTATTTGGGAAGAAAATCATCGATTATAACAAAATATACACACATTAATATAACAAATATTTGCTCTTAATATAAGTTTACTTTTAGTTTATTTCTTTGAGGTACTTTAGTTCATGTGTGCAAGTCATAGTATATTATTATCTCAGTGTTTGTTACGCATTACTTACCACTGCTCTATAAAAAAAGTAATCGACTTTGCATTACATCATTGCGAGTCAAAGTTCAACTCCAGGAACCCCCTGCCCCCCCTCATTCCCAGCCCCTTTGCGTGTACATCTATGTGTATGTGTGTGTGTGTGTGTGTGTGTGTGTGTGTGTGTGTGTGTGTGTGTGTGT